CAGCACAGTTTCAAGGTGAACTCCCGAGATCAGTGTCACCATTTCGGCATCCAACCAAATGTCTCCCCTTCTGTACCTGAGATATGTCTTTTAATAATGGCCGGAGAAGTGTTTTGCAGAATATTATGATGTCAAATGGAAGCTGACCTTTGGCCTGTTGGTGATATAATGTCACCACTTGTCATCACTTTTTCCTGTTAGACATTTCTATGAAATTTTGTCATAATCAGTGTATGAATTTGTGAGTTTTGGCCCAAAAAAAGTTTTGTGGGGTCACAGTGACCTTGATCTTGGAACTTTGACAGGATTTTGATCTTAAGATATAACAAGAATGAGACGGATATCTGACCACAGCGGCCTCACCGGCATGAATTCAGTGGTATTTCAATATTAAGTATTGTGCCTGATAAAATTCAAATATTTGTGTCACATTTGCCTCCACACATCTCCCTGACAAACAGATGAGGATCAACTTTGTTATCAAGTGCAAAATGGAAATAGACTGATATCAGTGTTACATGAGGTTGATATTAAATATGATTGAATGTGCTCCACATGAATAATATAAAGGATAATTTGTGACCTTCAGGAACACCAGGAGAGGGCAGTGAACATTAAAAAACTCCTGGAAAAAGCGTCAAAATGGCCAGTAATGATGCTTTCTATGGATTCAAAGTGCGAGCCTGTTTTCTGCTTTGAGCCACGCCACAATCAGTGATGACACAGCAGGTGTTTTGCCTTTTGCAGCCAATGAGAAACACCTGCTGTGACTTCACTGATTGGGATGAAGCAAGAGGGCAATGTGCTTTAAAGTTTCAAGTTTATTTGTGATACAGTTTAGGAAAAAAAGTTCTCAGTACTGTAAAAAAATGGGTGTATGTTTTGTTTTGTTTTTTAAAACAATTATATTTTTCTAAAAACTACTTATGTGAATTTTCCTGTCATTAGTGTGAAAATCCAGTCACATGTGAGCATCAGTGGTGGAAAAAGCAACAGTAACAGTGGCATACTTTATGGATATATCCTAAATAAAAGTCCTGCATTGCAAATTTATAATAAAATTCAACCCATTCCTATTATTTATTTAATTTATTTTTTAAATTATTATTATTTTTAATTCAATAGAATTTTAATTGTATTGGGAATAACCTTGTCAAAAATGTCTCCTTGAAACTTTTTTAAAAACGTTATTCAACAATACAATGTACAAATTACGTCAGGTGATTTTTTCTTTTTTTTTAAATTTTGTTTTAATTAAATAGAATTTTAATTGTACTCAGAATAACACTGTCAAAAATGTCTCCTTGAAACGTTAAAAAAAAACTTTATTCAACAATACAATGTACAAAGTACGTCAGATTATCTTTTTTGTAAATTTTCATTTTATTTTTATTTAATAGAATTTTAATTGTACTGGGAATAACATTGTCAAAAAAATGTCTCCTTGAAACTTAAAAAAAAACTTTATTCAACAATACAATGTACAAAGTACATCAGATGATCTTTTTTCATTTATATCTTTATTTTTATTAAATAGAATTTTAATTGCACTGGAATAACATTATCAAAAATGTCTCCTTGAAAATTTAAAAACAAAACAAAACAATAATACAATGTACAGATGACGTCAGGTGATTATTATTATTTTTTTTATTATTACTTTTATTAAATAGAGTTTTAATTGTACTGGGAGTAGCATTGTCAAAAATGTCTCCTTGAAACTTTTTTTTAAAACTTTATTCAGCAATACAAAGTACAAATGACGTCAGATGATGTTTTTTTTTAAAATGTTGCTTTGTTTTTATTCTTATTAAAAAGAATTTTAATTGCACTGGGAATAACATTGTAAAAAATGTCTCCCTGAAACTTTTTTAATTTTTTTTTTCAACAATACAATGTACAAAATATGTCAGGTGATGTTTTTTTATTTATTTGTATTTAATTGAATTTTAATTGTACTGGGAAAAACATTGTCAAAAATGTCTCCTTGAAACTTTAAAAAAAAAAAAACTTAATTAAAAATAATCATAATATTAACACATAGCTACATATTTAGAAATCTTGAAATAAACAATAAAAAACTTTTTAAACGTCCTGAAATGTAATGACGACATGAATAAAAAAAAATATTTGAAGCTCATTGGTCGTTGATGTGATTCAGATAATTCTAGAACGCCGGTCTCGGATTCTGATTGGCTGAGCGGAATTCCAAGAACTCGCTAAATTGAACTCGCGCACCTTATTTAAATATTAATATTTCACCGGAAACGGTCAGTAATACGCCACGCTACTGTACATATCATAACTTGAACTTTATGTAGCCGTTGTTTAAGCAATTATAGTAACACACAGGCGTAAATAACACATCATAGTACACGTTATTATTTTTTTTCCAACACATAAAACACCTATGTTATATAAGCGCGCGGCGGAGAGGCTCATTGGCTCGCGGAGAGCTGTGGGAAAGTCTACTGTGAGGAGGCATGTGTCCTTGGGAAGCAGAGACTTACACCTTCTCTTTTGGTGTGGACGTTATACATTTTTGTCACGATTCATTTCCTGTCACCCGAGGGGGCTCGCGGGCAACTACAGTGCGCGCGCACACTTTGAACCCCTTTTAACTTTCTCCCTCGGGATTACGCACAGGGACTTTCTTCCACGGAGATGTCAGGCTGAGATGTCAAGTGTCTCCAAGAGAGGAGGAGGAAGCGTTTTACCGCTGTGGAGTTTTGTTCCGTGGGTGACACTTTACATTTACTCGGATACTCTTTTTTTTTTTTTTTTAAACATGAGCGAGCAGGTAGGGCTTCAGTGCCTTGCGCGAGGACACCTAACCGGGGCGCGCGGCTGTTGATGGACTCCTGCTGGGATCAAACCTGCAACCTTTTAGTCTCGGCACAGCCAAAAAAACAACTCTGCCACCCTGCTTCCTGCTGTTGAAACAACCTGTATCACACCCACAGTATGGATTACTGCACATTTAACAACTTTTCTTCTAATATGGATTTAATTAGGTGCGAACTGTGATACCTGCACGTTTCTTATAATGACTTTCACCTTGACGTGCGTTCCCACCACATATCCTGCGGCTTAGTGTTGTTTCTGGCACGTTTTTATGAAGATATCAGAGCCCTCTGTACACTTAAAAGAGTTGTAGCCCTAAATCTCGTCGGCTCTCATGGGACTGAGGCATTCGTCGCGTTGTTTGCTGCTACGGCGGAAGATGGCGGAGGCGGACAGCTCGGAGGTAGGGACCTTGTGGTGTCCTGCACCCGGCTATAGCCGACACCGGGACACTCTCATGATGCTTATGTTATAGTGACAGCACGTTTGACTTGAATATGATGCGCACAGCTTTGTGTTTCCTATCCTCCTATCATCATGGTATCCATATTACGAATCAGCGCTGCACTGTGATGGCGTGCAGGCAAAGCAAAGTGCATTTCCCGGTGTCCTGCAGATGTTGTGGGTGATATAAAGAGACGGATGTAACTGCAATTGTAGTGATGGTGCATGAACATGTGTGTTCTTTGGGTGCGTGAAGGTACTGAACGTGCCTGTGTTCTCTGTCCTTGGTGCTGAAAGGAACCTGCATCCCGTACCGGCTCCTCTCCGAGTCTGCTGCTTGTGTAATAGCCAAGATTAGACATATGCATTCTTGACTGTTTATTATATAAATTCATTTTGGCTGCACATCACTGCCTCTGCCTGTGTCAGCCACGTGTTGACCTAAAGGCAGGTGCACCCACTCAAAATGACTGGACACACAATGCTCAAATCCTTCTCTCTGTCGTTTCTCAATCCTGACACAAACTTTCCCCCCTTTTCTCTCTCATTCCTCCTCAACAGCGGCAACAGCCTGTCACGTCCCCCCTCTCTCAGTCTGCCCAGCCCTCCCCACTGCCTAAACCAGTGCCTACTGCCCACCATGTGCCCTGCGTCCCCCACACGCCTCATGTAGCAGCCCTGGCCACCTGTCCTGGTCGAGGCAAGATTGCCAAGTTCATCAGCCCGGAGGATATGACGTCACGGGACTACTACTTCGACTCTTATGCCCACTTTGGCATCCACGAGGTAGGCGGACCAGGCTAGCAAAACGGCGGCTTGGTATGTAAGACCAGCGTGAAAGAATGACACCAGAGTGTTATTTATCAGTCTAGACTGTTTTGATGTGAGTTGTCGAGACGGATATATGGGCTGCAGAGATGTCCGCCTCCTCCCTGATATAATAGAACTAGACGGCACTCGGCTTGTGGTGCTCAAAGTGCCAAAAAATACATTTGAAAAACTCAACAGCAATGTCTCTTTCTAGAAATCATGACCCGGTTACTCCAGATAATCCACAGATCTTGTTGTGAGCAGTTTCATGTAGGAACTATTTTCTTTCTCCTGAACTACACCCTATCATGACACAGAAGGAAGCGTGCATCTACTGCTAGCCCACCTAGCACCACTGAGCTAGCTAATGTCACAGTTTAGCCAAGGTGGACTCCGAGTCCGTTTTGCAAAGGAGTCAGTTAGTCGGTCACAGGTAGACTTACTCAGTTTGAACTCCTGGTCAAGTGTGGCTTGACGGGGCCTGCTGCTAGTGCTAGCATCAGAGGCTGTGCTAGCTCGGACATCTGGGTTCGCCACTAAATGTTTTGCGTTGAGGTGATATTTCAGGCTTGCAGTACTTTGATGGCACAAAAATCAACAGTTCCATCTGGGCATTTTTTTTTTTTTAAGTGTAGATGTTCCACTCACGGGGCCAAGCTGCGTCGTCTCGTCTGCCTCCATCATGTGACAAAGCCACTGTGTCCTTCAGTGACGCACCGGGTCAAAGGGAACCACGGAATGTGATCAATCAGCATTAATTTTTTGAACGCATTATTTTTCCTCCCTTCCCCCATACAAGGCGAGGTGCTCAAGGTCTCATTCTCAGTCTCAAGTCATTTCATCAAGGTCTTCTTGAATCACTCTTAGTCTGGTCGTTGTGTGCGTCGACTATGAAACGGCCCCTAAGGCGACGAGTCTCGGAGGAGCTTTCAGCTGCCCCGTGACCTAGCCCCGCATGAGCCAGTGACAATAGATAAATTATTTTTTCTGTGATTAATCAATCGAAATCACTGCGTTATTTTGACAGGCCCTAGTTAAAAAGTTACGTTTCAGATTTTAATTTTATGGTGTGAAAACACTGTGGTGAATCTGTGGTTAGATTTAGGCACAAAAGACACTTCGTTATGGGTTAGAAAAATCATGTTTTGAGTTAAAATACCCAGTTTGATCGCTACAACCACAGTCGGTTTAAGAAATACCTGGCTGTTGCCATAACTACAGCTGGATATATGCCGCCATCGCCTTAAAATATACCTGTTTGTTGTCACGACAACCACTGCTGGAAATGTGCCATTGTTGCCTTCAGGCACCATGGAACTTGACTGAAATGTACGTGTTATATAAACAGCCCTAATCTAAACAAAATATGTACGATGTATTATCATTATCACCATTTACTAAATCTAATAGAGAAGGAGCAAAAATCTGGCTCCCAGATAATAAGACTCAACACAATGTCAAATCATTCAAACCTACATTAAATAGCCCAAAAATCAAATTACTTCAAACGTGAATGCACAAAGAGCAACAGAACTCACATTTTCACTCAGTAGAGCTCAGGTTTCTGCTGCAGTTAGTGACAGTGAGGGCTCACACCTGAACTCAATCTCCTTTATATAGGCCCTAATCAAGCCAGGCTCCTTGTTCCTCCTCCTCCCTGGCTCTAGAGAGGGCCATTCATGCTGTCCTACACACTTGACACAAGGGAGAAGTTTCCATTCTGCAACCTCACAGCTAGATGCCACTTAATCCTACACACTGGACCCTTAAATGTTTACATCTGGTCCTCTCACCCATGAGTAGATGCACGCTTCCTTCTGGGCGGTCAAACAGTTGGCAGGTGTAGTTAGGTCATGATTTCTGTAAAGAAACATTGCTGTTGAGTTTTTCAAATGAATTTTTTGGCTCTTTGAGCACCACAAGCCGAGCGCCATCAAGCTCTATTATATTCCAGAGAAGGCAGACATCTCTACAGCTGATATCTCCGACGCTGGGGTGAACTCTCCCTTTAAACCCAAACAACTGCTACAAACAACAAAACAAAGATTCAGGCAAAGTAAAAGGAGTCCTCAGTCCTCCAGTGCTTTCCAACATGAGTTTAAACAAAGCATGACACCAAACGCATCACACGATGACGCAAACATCTCTCAGTAGCCTAAACTTTAAAGGCGCTCTTGTAAAAAACACTTTAAAACATCAAATATAATCTAATGATTCGCCCATATTAGAATAAACTCCAAACACAAACCTCCGATGCAACTGTCCGCCTACGTTTGTGGGCAAATAGAAAGAGAGTGGAGAGTGTCTCTTAGCTGACAAAAGAGGAGGCTTTTCCATTACCAGCTCGCACTAAAGAAGCCAGATGCATGATAATAGTCCATGTTCGGTGCTCCATAAATGAAAACAATCTGTCTTTTACAGCCGGTGAACTGCTGAAGATAATCGCAGAGCTATACCTTAGCTAATGACCTTGATCTGTGGAGGTGGTGGAAAAGTTTGGGGACATATAGACCTTTTTAAGTAGTGCCCATATTTAGCATGTGGGTCAGGTTTTTGTCGGCTCGCAGACAAAGAGAGTGTCCTGATTAGAGGAGTGCAAAGCAAGGAAGATGAAAAGTGGGATGTGTGAATGGGCTCAGGGAGATGGATATCAGGCAGTCCCCAAAGGCTTTGTGTTGTACTCCCGTCTATTTCAAGAAGCTCTGCCACTGTCACAAAGGCTCCTGGCCTAAATACTGCCTTATCTACCTCATTACACATGAAAAAACTATGCATTCTCACGCTGAGGAAAATGTGCGTAACGTTTTAGCATAATGTACACACATTTGTATGTTCATTATGTAGCATTATGCGTATTATGTATTCCTTTGTGCATCTGTATGAATCACTGTTCTTCAGGTAGTCTTGACAGCTCCATATAGAAGCTGTAGTGCATGTTATTCAAGACTGCAATTAAGCGCCACAGCTACGACCCTTTGGGTTTATCTCTAATTTAAACAGGAGATGCTGAAGGATGAGGTGCGGACGCTGACCTACCGGAACGCCATGTACCACAACAAGCACGTGTTCAAAGATAAAATCGTCCTGGATGTCGGTAGCGGCACGGGGATCCTCTGCATGTTTGCAGCCAATGCCGGCGCCAAACATGTGTATGGGGTAAGTCAAATAGATACACTAAACAGATGCTTCACAGTTACTTCTTCATGAGAATCATCCAACAGTTACTGCTTTTGTTTAAGTCTTCATTAGAGAGAACAGCCGCACACTCTTTTCAGGTCCAAATTAATATCATATCTGGCTCTGCTGTCACATTATCTCTCATCCGTGGCCTTTCCCTCTACGTATGCACACACACACCCTGCCTTTTTGAAATACCTCTTAAAGAAGCACTTCACTGTTGGAGGAATGGTCTTTTCATAAAACTGGGATGTCTATGCAGTAGAAAGATGCGAATACTTTTGAAACTGGTGCTACAGTATATGACCGGAGAAAGCAGAGTATACGGGCCTTTGGTTCTTCTCAAGAGGTACAAAACTTACAACTACCAGAATACACTGATAAGTTCACTCTCTAGCTGATGGGTGACGTAATTTGACGTTTTGACCGGCTTGTCCGAAAACACAATGTGATCTCATACATACTTGTCATATTTTGCCGCTCAGGTAGAAGCCCCAGGCATTACTAAAATTATGCCAAGGGCAGCCTTTTGTGTCATATCTTGATGCAGAAGGGTTCAGCGATTAGATTTAGGCAACAGAACTGCTTGGTTTTTGAAAAGAAAAGATTGCAGATGTCACTGCAAAATACCTGCCCCTGAGTGGCACAAATGCAGCCAGAAAGGCAGTGGCATGTCGCCAACAAAGACCCGACACTGAATGCTACAATTGCTGCTTGAAAGGCAGCGGTTTGTCACCAACAAACACCCAACATTAAGTGCTACAAATGCAGGTTGAAAGGCAGCGATGTGTCGCCAACAAACACCCGACAATGAGTGCTACAAATGCGGCTTGAAAGGCAGCACTTTGTCGCCAACAAACACCTGGCTTAAAGTGGCACAGATGTGGCAGGGAAGTCAGTGGTGTGTCGCCAAAAAACACCCGACATTGAGTGCTACAAATGCAGGTTGAAAGGCAGCGGTTTGTTGCAAACAAACACCTGACAATGAGTGCTACAAATGCGGCTTGAAAAGCAGCAGTTTGTCGCTAGCAAACACCTGGCTTATAGTGGCACAGATGTGGCAGGGAAGTCAGTGGCATGTCGCCAATGAACACCCAGCTTTGAGCACCACAAATGCAGCCAGAAAGGCAGCGGGGGATTGGCCAGAAACACTGTGCTCTAACTGCCACAAGCGTACTTGCAATGCTGCAGCAGCTTGTCGCCAAAAAACACCTGGTTTTGAGTGCCACAGGCGTGGCCGGAAAGGCAACAGTGTGTTGCTGAATTTATGAAGAAAACTTGTTTTTTCATACATGCCTCCACTGTGAACGAACACTCTAAAAATGGAGAAAAGTTCTTGATGAATTTAAGTCATAGGGGCCTATATTTAACAACAGCGAAACTACAACTTGTGCAGTATAATCAAGTCTCATTTATCTGGGCATATGCTCAGTACTTTCCAAACACAGCTCAAAAGCAGCCCAGGCGCACTCAGGGTGCGCTACTCGTACATGGAAGTATTTTGTAACGTAACGTGTTTGTGAAAATGCATGTGTTTGGAAGTACTAAGCATAAGGCTGCAAATAATGATTATTTTCATTACTGATTTGTCTGTCAATTAATTGTTTAGTCCATAAAATGCTCATCACAATTTCCGAAGGCCCTAAATATCATCTTCAAATTACTTCTTTTGTCCAACCAATAGTCCACAACCCAAAGACTATTCCTTATCTACCATCAATGAAAGGGAAAAGCAAATTCACACATTTAAGAAGCTGGAAGCAGCAAATGTTTGACATGTTTGCTTGAGAAATGACTGAAAGGATTAATTGATTTTTAAAATAGTTGGCAGCTGAGCATCTAATGATTACACGAATGGGTTTACATTGAAGTTGGTGGAAAGCCCGGTGTGGGACACTGCCCAGAGGTGTATTTTGATGCTCTAGGAGTGAGACCAGGCTGGAAAACAATCTGGCAGCCGGCTGGTGACAGACAATCTCAAATTACAGTTGAACGTAAGATAAAATATGTCTCTGTAGACATTTTAGGTGAGAAATAGGCAATACAGTGACACAATCTTGGTTTATTTTTGATTAGCACTGCCTAGTTTTCCTGTTTGACCTGAATTTGGTCTGAATTTGAGAGCTATATCTACTTCTGTACTCTTTGTGTAAATGGTGGCCCAGCAAAAATTCCTTCATCTGGCGGATATTGGCTGGCAAATGAGCAAGGAGATGAGGGAGATTTTAACATAGTTCATTTACACATGCTTCCCAAAGTATCCTTTTAAGAGCCAGTTTCTTGTGCTCTGTTGAGAAACTGGTAATCTCTCTCAGACAATCATCCACACACAGGCAATAAGAGACATCTGGCTCTCCTCATCACAGGTTGCCGGCAGTGTCTCCCACAGTTATGTATGATTCATATACTGTATTACACTTATGGATGGGAGAGCAGGATGATGTATTAGTTTCATGCTGCACAGGGTCTGAGATGAGCGATGAGGGATGTTAATGTGTGGATGGATTGGCAGGGTTTGATTAAATTTGCCCTTCCGATATTACCCTGAAGGTTAACTTACTGTACAGGGAGAGAAAATGCTAACACCACTGCAGATCAGGTTTTTTTCCCAACTAAGGATTTTAACATATCTGTTATGATTTATTAAAACAATGAAAAGTGCCTGTTATGTTACTTTAGCCAGTGGTTCCCAACTGGTCTGTCCATGGCGTCCAGATTTCTCCTCAGTCATTAGTTCAAGGTCCACACAGTTTAATACATTTGGCGCCATACTTGCCATGTTGTTGAGCTAGTTTGCTGTCTCTGTCAAGTAGCTGTATGTGAGTCACACACTCTACAGCGAGCACAGTCTCACTCTGAAGTTATCGAAATCTGGCACGTGGGTGGTGACTTGCGGCGTCAGAAACCAACAAAAAAAGACGTCCTTCAGTATTGGCATGATATGTGGCTAGTTGCTGTTATAGCTTAAAGGTGCCCGGTGGTGTTAGGGGAAACGCGGTGGGACACGGATGAAAGTTAAGGTGGCAAATGTTAGCTGGAGGGTGGTGGATGAGTCCAACAAACACTGACTTTCACCCAAGAGAGCAGTGTTTGTGTCCCATAAGATTCTAATCACAAACCCTGTTCTTTTTTTCCTAAATTTAACCACTTGCTCTTGTTGCCTAAACGTAACCACATGTTTTTGTTGCAGAAACCCAACCATGTGCATTAGTTATTAAAGGAAAACAAACGTTAATCTGGGGTGTTGTGCTGACATAGTGCTTTTATTTTGAAAGAGACTGTGTTTAAATGTTAAATTACCTGTGAAAACAGAAGTGTATTTTGAAAGAAGACAATGCATCTAACAGGCAGAACTTGACACGGCGTCCCAGGGTGTCAACAACCAACCTAGCCAGGGTACCTTTCACATCGTATGTGGACGTGGAAAGTCCATGAGCAAGCACGTCAGTATGTGACGAGGTCGGAGTGAGAATGTGTTGACAAAACAGGAAACTGCACTTCAAAATGGAAGCTCTGTGCTGGTAATTCACTGTGCTTAAAAATAAAGTGTGTTTGTGGTCCATTCAGAATGGATTCGTGACCCACTTTTGGACCACGACCCACCAGTTGGGAACCACTAACTCAAGCAATGTAAATATTCAACAGTTTCCTGTTAAGACGACACTACGTCTGTGGTTTTGTCCTTGTGCCCACAGATCGAATGTTCGAGCATATCCGAATACTCCGAGAAGATTATCAAGTCCAATCACCTACACAACGGTAAGTCAAAGTGGTTTTGTTATCACGACTACATTTCTCACATCCATCTGTCTGAATGCAGAGCGCTGCGATGACATCTGGATTAGACGCGGCGTGAAAGATCTGCATATTTCCATCATTACCGTCACACCCGACGATATTAGTCACAGTTCTGATGGTTAACTGGCAGCTCGCCTCTGATGTCAAATAACCATAATCCCTGCTATCAATCATTATTCCCTCAGTGGTGCTAATTAGCATTGTAAAATGCCACCCTGAGCTTCACAGACGGAGGACTGGCAACAGATGGTGGGTTTCATAACCTGTTCGCTTGACATTAGGCTGGTTTTTGTTTCATCTTTCATATTTACATTTCAGGTATTTTAAGATGATGCTATTAGCAAAGCATACAAAGATTAAAACAGAAGGCTAACTCTTTAAAATGTTTAAAATCTATCTCCCAGTATCTTCACCTCATGGGTCAAAGAGGCCAGAATGGAAAACAAGACAAATTCATGCATAAATAGTGAGGTGTGCAATTAGCGTAGTAATTAAGATGTGCTAATTCACAGCAGTCCCACAGCACAAAAACAGTGTTGTCTGAGAATAGAGCTATTGTCCGATTTGCATTGATGTGATAAAGATGCCGTGAAGTAATTTGTCGCCTGCTGTTTTTGTGGCTCTCCACCCCGCAGTCATTACCATCTTCAAGGGCAAAGTGGAGGAGGTGGAGCTGCCTGTGGAGAAGGTGGACATTATCATCTCAGAGTGGATGGGCTATTGCCTCTTCTACGAGTCCATGCTCAACACCGTCATCTTCGCCAGGGACAAGTGGCTGGTATGATGGTGCTGCTGGAGGCTCGTGGAGAGCTGGGCTTAGCCTGTGTGTGTGTGTGGACGAATAAGGCGTTTGACACATAAACACAGCAGACAGTGATGAAGGAGAGGATTTACTGTACGCTTTAGTGCATGTGTCTGCTGCTCAGATGCCGAGGTCCTACGTGAATGATGTGGTTTCTAACCTCAGTGGCTGCCTGCAGGGTTTAAACTTGGCATGTGTGATCTTAAATTACACGGCAGGTGTGTGAACAGTAACGGTGATGGATAGCCTGTGTGTGCGTTAATACCTGAAGATTTTTTTTGTGTTCAGAAACCCGGAGGCCTGATGTTCCCCGACAGAGCGGCTCTCTACGTGGTAGCCATCGAAGACAGGCAGTACAAGGACTTCAAGATTCACTGTGAGTAATTATGGAAGATTTGTTTTTTGCTCTCACATTTTGTCTCTGTCTCCCTCTCAGCTGTGCAGTGCATAATTAATGACCACAGATGAAGTAAAATCACACTCCAGTTAGATCTAGAATCGTTTGGGCCCACTCTCTAATAAGCCAGTGTTACTGCAGACTGTGAGAAATGAGTAAGTCATTAATTAAAGGTCATGGCTTTGTCATGTTTTAATCATCCATGAAGAGTTTCTGCACCACAATATCAGGTTTGTGTTTCAAGTGATCAAAATGTCAACTCAGGCTCACTGAGTAAAACAAATACTTTACTCCCAAAGTAACCATTTCTATGTCAGTTACTCACCGTGTGTCACCTTGAATTTGTGAGTAAAACATACATGCCTCCACGGTGAATGAACAGTCGTAAAAAAGGGAGAAAAGTTCTTGATGATTTGAAGTCATAGGGGTCAGAATTTAACAACAGCAAAACTATATCAAGACATCTGTTTACAAACTCTCACACGACTCATGCAGTATAAGTAATGTTAGCTAAAAAGATACACAACAGCCAAAATAATTTTTCACAGCCAGGCAACCCAAATTATACATGCAAATGTCTTGTTACTGATCAGTGAACTCATAAAAAATATTAATTATCTATCACAAAAGCCATTAGTTCCATCCTAGAAAACAACTGTAAAATATGCCATGTTAGGGCCTGATCACACGGGAAGCATTTTGCAGGTTGCAAAACGTGAGGCACAGTGCTCTGCCTTTTTGTAAAAAAAAAATTGAATCCCACTAGTGAAAAGCAAAACACTTGCTGCACCTTTTTATTGTTGCCAGGCAACCACCCCATCATGTCCTAACGGGCCGTGTACATGCCGCATCTTTAACCGCCTGGAAAACATGAGCGCTACTCTTGTGCCTTTTTTGAGCCAGCTTTTAAGAGCGTGGCAACAGGTTGTGCCTGAGGTTGCTAAGCAACCTTAACAAGCATCGTATAGCCTATTTACCTGAAATCCAGAGTGCAGAGCTGATCTTCTTCCAGGCGCTGTTTATAAATGTGTAGGCCTATCGTCCGTGGGACAGATGTAAGCTCTCGGTAGCCCTGCACTAACATGATCAATGTTTCCGTATTTATCACAGACTGATATTTACTGATGAAGGGAAATATATCTGTCGGCTGTGATTGGTTGGTCCTCGTCACATGACATACAGTGTGCGCTGCTGCGTTCCAAAAGTTGAATTCTGGCATTTGAGCATGCCTGCCATGTGTCCATATTGAAAGAAATAAATTTGAGCATGCAAAAAACGCTGCATGTGTACGGCCCCTTACACCAACCTTCCCGTATAATCAGTCTACCGTTTTACTTTGGTTTGGTTTTATTTGACAGTAATTAGCAATCTAGTTCCTAAAATGTTGAGGCAGAGGATACTTGCTGTAGCTCTGGTTGAGGGGGAGAGGCTGTCAGTAAATAGTTTGTTGGGTACAGGGAAACGGAGATGTGTGTGGGTACGTGAGACTCTAAAAAAAAGGGTGGATCATGGGGAGTACCACCAGTTGGTCCAGGAGCTTCTCCTCGATGATCGCAGTACTGCATTTATATGCTTTCACTCCTGTTCATTTGAAATCGTGGTAGGTGTGGTTTGTAAAGTCGTATAGCTCTGGGTATCCAGCAACAGCTACCACCATTGTTTACCAACTGTAAACTTGTTGCTGTGACCACCACAGAAGGCCCGCCTCTCATATCATCCCATTGGACAATGAGAAGGAAGCAGAGATGACGTGGGGCACTTCGAGGAGTTCAGAATGCTCCAGCAAAGACACCAGGCGCTGGTGGTCAAGTCCAGGGTGGATTGTTTCATTCCGGAAATGGGTCTAGAGAAAGGACGTGATGAACAAGGGAAGGACACATCGTGACAGATCCAATCTGGAAATGAACATTAGCGTCTGCATTTCCATCGTTACCATTTTTAAAAGTCTAGACTAAAATGCAATGCCACAGTTTTTAAACTAAAACGGGTCAGCAGTGTTTTTAAAGGTGTCAATTCAACAGTTACAGGCGTAAACATAGGAAATGTTGTGCGTTCTAAAATGAAAACATATAAGTGAGAATGTAGCCTTAGAGAGAAGTACCCAAAGTACACCAATAAGGTGCCTTTATCCTGCAGTACATTTTCTGCTCTGAACTCACTCGGTGTGTTCAAATAGCTTTCACAGCAGGAGTGCTGAGCTTAACATTGTGATCCAGATCAAAGACCAATATTAAAGGTGCCATTCACCCTTGTGCTTGAGGTATTGAATCTGGGTTAATAACTCCGACTGAGTTTCCTTTCACTGCACAGGTGGCCTTCTCCGTTCTCTTCCATCCGCACATGCACATAAAGGTTCATACTTTCATATAAATCCCAAAAGAATTCAGTCCGCCCGAACCTCTCGCGCTCTTATTTTTAGCTTCCCTCTGCGTCGGTGGTATGTTCCACCTTCTCATCGTTCAGACTTAGTGTTTGGCCTCCTGACAAAGCAAGGTGGAGTGGAGGGACAGAGGGAATGGGGGAGGGAAAGCCTGTTCGGTGTGTTTTCAGCCCAAATTATGATAAAAAAAAGCCTGCCAGACATGGTGGAGGAGGCGGAGGAGGCCAGAGTCTATTTTCAGGAGGCCTTGTCTTTCTCCACAGAGGGGCTGGATAGACAGAAAGACAGCATGAGTGCGGGACTGCTTTTCCTGGCAGGGTTAAGTGCTTTATTTTATTTTCTCTCCTACCTTTTTTTCGCTGACAGCTTGGCAGGAACAGAGAGAACAGAGCATGGCAAGTGTATGAAAATTCAGAAAGTAAAAATCCAGAAAACACTGTTTGCATTTGTTTTCACAGCCCGTTCTCATTACTCGGTCATACTGTAGCGACGCTTTGTCATGCCCCTCAGTGTCTGATACTGATGCACAACCTTTAGCATCTGTATGAGACACACTGGGCTTTCAGCTAACTTCAATATAAACACATCTGTGGCAATATTAGATGTTCAGAGAGACTGACATTGCATAAAGAGCAAAGTCCACACAGAGAGGAGGTCAGGGGAAAATGGATCGGTTGAACAAGCACAGTACTTTCAGTCGCCAGGAGAAAATGTTGGCATTTCTGCAAACCATGGATACTTTACAGTTATACATTTTCATACGTAGCACATCAACGTTTCTAAAGTGACGTAGTTCAGATTGTAGGTTTATGAGCTCAGTTACTAATCAGGTGGTGGAGGGGATGGTGGCTGGCATTCGACCTGGGCCAGACGGCTGCAAGGCAGCAGATAGCATCACACCACTGTTCCAGACCCAGGGCTGGACTGGGACAAAAAATCGGCCCGGGCATTTTGAGCCTAGTCCGGCCCACCAGGTATTGATGGAAAGACAATGAAGCCTATGAATGAAAACAAACTTTCTTGTGACACCGCTTGTACACTGTCTTGTTGGTGTATATGTACTTGTCTAATACATTTAAACCTACACCATCCTCCCAGTCCCATTATTCTATACAGTACTTACTTAGAGGAACCCAAAAGGCTGCTTGGTCTAGTGAACCTCCTGAACAATGAACATATGATGGGATCCTGAAAATTGGACAGTGAGGAACAGAGGTGAGACATGATCATTGATGAATATTAAAATGAATAAATGACAGATTTAGTAATATTTTCATAGACTATGTACTCACCACATCAATAAAGAGCACTGCAACACATAATACTTCCTCAAACATGGCAACCTTTAAAAAGTGAAGGGATATTTTAAATTGAATGGAAACATGCCCACAATAAAAAGTTGTGCTGTTACATGTCAGTAAAAAAAACAATAAGATAAAAACACAACATATCTAGAATAAAGAGGATATTTATGTATAAAAGACAAATACATTTAAGTAGTTACTTTTAACTCCAAGCCACTTTTATGTTAATGAGCAGCATCACATCTCCTGGCAAATCCTAATTTGATTCAATTTAAATTATATCTGCAAGTGTAGAGGGTTTATGATGAATACTAGCCTAATCATTTGGTTTTACATGAACATTTTTGCTCTGTTGAGCTTTAGCTGTTTCAGAGTAAAGAATTACTGCATAGTGCACTTATATCAATTAATAGACATTGAAATATTTTACTACCTAACTAATAAAGACTATACTTAACTAAATGAATAAAATAAAGTTACTGAAGCACTAAGATCACCATCACTAGTATAACATCATAGAAACAGCCCAGCAGTAGAGAAACCCCGTCATGCTGCTCAACAGCCAGCTAAATTGTTAAATGGCCTACTCATAACTATGCTGTGTTAAGAGTTAGCAAGCACAACGAAAATAAACTATCAACCAAACTTGATTCATATCTGACCCAGGTAGACTGCTGTTCATCACTTCTTACCTGAAGTTCAAATTCCCCTCCAGTCACACCGCCTGTGCCGTCATCATATAATGTGGCGGCCGCGGGTCTCCTCCTCCTCCTGCCTCCCCTTTGCCTCATCTACCTGCTGACGGCCACCTCCGCCATCATTACCTGCTGCAGCTGCTTTGGATGCCAGTGTGGGCGCGGTCACTGATGCTGCCGCTGAAGAAGCTCCGCCATAGCCAGCAAACATCTGTGTTATTTTAACATATTTGGCAGCATCTTCCTAAAGGGCTTGTCTCTTTTTCTCTCTTATTTTTTCCGCACCTACTTTGAGTTTCTTCTCAATTTTGTCAATCTCCTCTCTCTCTGTATGATTGACTGGCAGCCGAGGCCCAAGTGGGAGGGGGCATCGGCCCTCGACTGTAATTGGTCCAGCCCAGAATCAATCATGACTAATGGGCCGATCTACCAGTTTTGTGTACCAATAGGTATCATGACATGACTAAAAAAAAATAAAAATAAAAAAAGCCATCGGCCCACTGGGCAAATGCCCGGTATGCCCATTGGCTAGTCCAGCCCTGTCCAGACCAGTCGTGTTCTTGTAGGGCCGCATCATGACATATCCAGCAGTGCTTATGGCAACAACAAGCGGCTAGTTTTTCAGGCATGGTTGGCACATTTCATTAGTTTTTTTGTCCAAATGTAAAAAAGCTGTGGTTTGCAGAAATGTACAATGCCAACATTCATTCTGGCAAGTGGGTTTTCATGTCCTCTGTGAAACTGAGTCAGTGTCATTTTAACCCAATGTATGATAGTTTCCTAAACCTAACCAAGTAGTGTTGGCACTGAAATCTGTTTCCTTTGAACATGGAAGTTTATTTAAAAAAGACCATCCAAAACTCATGCTAGCGGTGTACCTAAAGAATCATAGTTTGAAGCGTAGGACAGCTGACCAAGCTGCAGTATGACGAGTTGTGAGTGATAATATGTTGGTATTCTCATGGGTGCTGTTTTTGTTTGTGTATGCGCAGGGTGGGAAAACGTGTACGGGTTCGACATGAGCTGCATTCGCAATGTGGCCATCAAAGAGCCTCTGGTGGATGTGGTAGATCCAAAGCAGGTGGTGACGAACGCCTGCCTCCTAAAGGTCAGTCTGTGTCCTTGAGTACAAATATTGCACATGCATGGTGAAGGAGTGTGAACGTACAGTACCTCGAACTTTTGTCCATCACTCCATATTGCTTTAAACCTTAAGAAAGCCTGCGTGTTTGAGGCACACACCCCAACAAACAAGGTTTTTCATCTTTTGTGTTCTGCCACCAACTACATGCACCCTGAAAGAAGTCCGAGACCGCGATCAATCCCTGAGCCTCTGATCATTCCTGGGCTGCCGAGACTATTTTCTAGTACATAATAGAGGTTTCTGGGGAGCTGTAATAGTCTGCAGCTCTGTTTCCATGCTTCACCAGTGGCTCGTCTTTCATCTCACAAATGAACAGAGGATAAGAGCATTCAGGGAGGTGATAGCTTTTTTGTCTACCTTTCATTTCTTTTCCTCTTTCACTGTTCCCACTGTGTGCTTTTTGTCATGTTTTTTTTTCCATTTCAGGTATCCAATATTGTCCTTCCTCTCTCTCCTTTTTTGTTTCATATCAGTTTGTATTCTTATTCTCACTCTTCCCTTCTTAATCACTTCTTTGTACCCTTCATCTCCTGTCACATTTTAAGCAATGTCAGGCCTCACTAGTTTGAGGGAATAGGGAGGTCTCACTCTGTCTCTCCCTCTGCGTGTTGGTGAAATGTCACACAAGAGCAGGCATTGAGTCACCAGAGGGAATAAAGTGGGCTCTCCATCTATTTGTACGAGCACCAACCTTCCTTTTGTGTTCAAAAAGGTGATTTATGTGTGAGATTGGATAGGTGGTTGCTACACTCTTAGAAATAAGGCTCCAAAAGGGTTCTTCTTCATTACTCAGATTCACAATGTGTTAAAACTAGATAACCAAGTTCTTTTTAATCAGACAATTAATTGGAGGAAATAGCCTGTTAGCTAGTTAGTAGCCTGTTAGCTAAGCTAGCACACTGTCATACAGTCTCTCTGAAGAATCCAACGCAAAAGATCCCTTTTGTCTTTTTTTACATACTTGAGGCTAATTCCAGACTGAAATATTATGGTTCGTACGATTAATTTCGCATACACATCGGATAGAGATTTCCATAGGAATGAATGGACTTCCAGTTGACTTGTCTCTGTACACATACGTAAGTTGAAATGAGGAGTAAGATTTCCCAGTGTAGGAATCCAGACTGCAGAGGCATGGCCAGCATGACATGTAACACAGCAGCGTCAGCCTCTAGTATGACGTATAACATGCATGTTAGCAGAGTCAATAACAATGGCTTAACATGGCAACAACAATCATTTACCATCCCTGATATATCATGGTTTGATCTCGTCCTTTGCTCAGAGGGTACGGAGCTTCAGGATCTCATTGTTTTCCCAATTTGCGGATATTTTTGGCTGCCATTTTTCTTCTTTAAGCTAACTGCTAACTGCTAACATTTTGACTCGACCAGGGGACTTCACCACAAGCAGACTAGCTGTAGAAACAGGTGACAAGCTTTACACTCCGGCGATTTGACTAGAGGAGTTGCAGGTGACACTATGACCTGGCTTGAGTCGAGCTCAGATGGCCAGTTTACACCGCTGCAACGTTCTTAAGCGGTTTCGTCTAGTCGGGAATCATTGGTCTGAACTGAACTTTAGAGGTTGAAAGGGTTCTTAGTGGTACCAGAAGACTATAGAAGGGTCCTCTGTAGAACCTCTCAAGGGGAGTCTTGGGTTGAACCTTTCACAGATGGTTGTAGGTATAACCCTTTTCATTGGGTTCGATATAGAACCCTCTGATACCCCTCCTGCATGGAAGTAGCTCTGGATCTTGAACTGGTTTCATTCAGGGCTTTTGGAACCTTGGTGCCAACCAGCCTGTGTTTCCACAAGTTTCGGTCAGAAGCATTGCAATCAAGATGAGTCATCAACAGAAGGTGTTGCACAATGCAAAACAGAAGTTAACAGTAGTAGCAAGATGGTGGATCGCATTGATGACCTGCAAACATTTGTTCTGATATTACAGATATTTGCTTTTATCCAAAAACAACTTTTTGGATTCTCAATTAATTTATTTTTGGTCAAAATGCTCAGAATGGCTCAAAACTAGGTGTGGGAAAGGGGCGGCAAAGGGGTATGAAAAAAGTTTCAACCAGGAACCAAATAGGGTTCTCCTATGGGGACAAGCCAAAGAACCCCATGTGATTCTAGTTAGCATCTTTCTTTCTAAGAGTGCAGAGAGTTAGTGACATGCTGTTGGATGGAACATTCATTCTCACCGTCTGTATGTCTTTCACATGCATATATTCAGGGCTTATTCACCCATCCTCCCGCCACCAGCCACTTCGCCTCGTCTTAATTCAAACTGCCACTCATTCCTCGCAAGCTAAAATTACAAAGTCGCTCCCGGGGAGTTTTTTTCTCTCCTCCTACAATTTGCTGTATATGATACTGGCCTGGTATCATTGGAAAGGACAGAGGTGTTAAATCACAATCTGTCATGCTGACGCCACATGGCCGAGCGATCCGTGGCCCAATAGGCCCAGCGAGATGAGCAGGTTGCAGTGTTCCCCGTCCTCTGCAATACAACATTATGCATGACCAGCTCCACTCCTATTTTGGAGCAGCAGTGAAGCCTGCCAGGTAACAAAATGTGATACTTAGATTTGTAGCCATATTCATAAGGCAGTGCTTGATATAGCCACAAGGGAACACACACACACACACTCACACACACACAGCCTCCCTCCCTTGTAGACTTCAGGGAGGACACCCACACAGCATGTGTACTGTGAGCAGGCTTCGTTTGCCAGCCGTGATTCAACCTGTGGGCTTTCACACACACACACACACATACATACACACACACACACACACACACAAATATAATTATGGTGAATAATCAAGCAGCGACTGACATATACTGTACATGTACTGCGTGTGTGAGGGATGGCAGGTGGGCGTGACAACTTGTGTCTGTACATGTGGTGTGCTGCCTTCCTGACATATTCCATGGACTGGAAAGCAGTCTTTGCAAAATAAAGTCAGTTTGCTATTTGTTTTTGCAGGAAGTGGACATCTACACCGTGAAGCCAGAGGACCTGTCCTTCACCTCAGCCTTCTGCTTGCAGATCCAGCGCAACGATTACGTCCATGCCCTGGTCACCTATTTCAACATCGAGTTCACTAAGTGTCACAAGAAGACTGGTTTCTCCACTGGTGAGTAATATATCTCCAAACTCTAAACACTTTTCATGACACCAATCTTAGAGTGTCTGTTCGCTCATATCACATGAAAACGTATTTACTTACTCACCCCTCTCGTTTTTTTTTGCCTTTTGAGATCAAAAGAAGAAAGACAGGGAACAAATGGGGGGAAATGGACTCTGTAAAATCCTACACCTCAGTGAGAATTTCTCCAATTTTGAAATTAGAGAAGTAAATCTTGCCAGATCATATAAAACTTTCTGGTTGCACCAACTTTAAGTCAGTCATTTGCAAAAGCAAAGCATTCCTCGATCCAGCTGGTCAGTGGAGCCTCGAGAGTCTCAAAAGCTGAGCAAATAACACCAAATATCTTCATGGCTGGATACCACTATGAGAAAGTCTTTGTCTTTATTGTTGGAGTTAACCAACCCTTTAAAGGGATAGTTTGGATTTTTTAAGTTGCTGTTATATGAGGCACTTGTCCATAGTTAGTGTATTACCTACAGTAGATGGTGGTTCGGCACGCTGTCAAGGAAACTAAACAATATACAGCTGTGGACAGGGGTTGCAGCAAAACTTATTTTAGCCACCTAAAAAAAATCAATAACAGTTTAAGTGTACCCTGTATTTAAAACATTTTCAGCACTTTACCTTGCAGCAGACAGCCCTTCCCAACAGGAAAACCGTTAACAGCTTCTGTTCCCCATCTAAGCTCTCATCAAAGCCACCACACGCCACTGAAAAATACAGTAATTTAAGCTCACTGCTGGTCCACCACTATCTCAGTCAGTAAGTTTGTTTGTGTTATTGTGTGACTTTGGTGAATCTGACGTAAGCCTTTTAAACTCCAAAGTCACACAATAAGACAACGAAACTAACTGATCGAGGAAGCAGTAAACCAGCAGCTCCTGTGTTTAGTGGTGTTAAATTACTGTTTTTCTCAATGGAGTCTGGCTTAGAGTCTGGGTAAAGCAAAACCAGTGATTTCACATCATATGTCTTAGAAAATATTTGGTGAAAACGTGTGAAAAGACTGTGAGAGCTGTGTAGTACTGAATTGCAGATTTAGACATTTGAACTGTTTTTAACATTTCCAAGAGTCCAAAATTTTTGGATGGGTCTACAGTCACAGCTGTATGATGCATTGGAGCCATCCTTAACATAACCCATTTTAGCTATTTCAGTCTAATACAAATGGTCCAGCCACGGGGTCCAGATTTCACCTTAGTCGTTAGTTCAAACTCCACACTTCTTAACTGTACGTTCACACCAAAAGGTTCCAAAGAGGTAAAGTCTCTCGTGGATGCACAAGAAGCACGAATGTCAAAAATATTTGTGGCAGCTTTGGTTGCTCTAGTCGCTCATCACGTGAATCATTGAACTTGTCAATTTAAAGGAGCCACAAAGCGGACTACTGGCTTGAAAGCAGTGTAGTTGCTGCTTTGTTGTTGTCCAGTAAAAAGCTCATAGTTGGCCTACAGAAAGTGAAGTTTGGTCAATGAAAACAGAAAACATATGTCATCCCGTTCAAACCAAGCAAGGAAGACTTGCATGCTAAGTCGTAACATTAGCCTGCAATTCTCTCCTCTATTACTAACATTACACACTTTAAAACTCACCAGACCAACCAACTACCTCTGCGACGCGGTCCCAAGCCTCATTCTTTTTATTTTGGTTTCTGTAACCGAACAGCGACACATTATAAAGGACTGAGTGGGCGCAAATGTGAATAGACTTCTCGATATCCATTGTCGTAACAAGTTTGCTGTAGGAACCAAAGTTACATGGCTTGTTCTCTGGGACCTGCTTTATTGAAGTACGTCAGCATTCCGATTGGTTGCCGCCAAACCACGTCAGAGCTCATTACCATAAAGGTAAACGAGTTTTAACTCCCCTCCGGAGCCGCTCTGGTCGCCCAAGACACACGGCTGACGACCAGGTTGCCCAAGTTTCCCAAGTTGCCCAAGTCGCTGGGCTCTCATTGAAAATTAATGACTTCTGCCGCTGTGGAAGCTCTGGTCGCTTTTGGTGTGAACGTACAGTAATACATTCAGCATCATACATTTGGCCACGTCCTCAAGCTAGTGTGCTAGCAGGTCTCAATCCGAAGTTGTCGGACACCCCAGTGCTTGGTGGGTGACTTCAGCATTTGACACCGTCGAAAAATGCTGTTCTTTCACGTCAGCATTTTTAACGTGTGGAAACGTGGCGAGACAACAACGAAAATTAAGACAGCAAAAGTCCGACTAGGGTGGGCAGGAGTGGTGGTGGATGGGTGCAACAACCACTGACTTTCACCTTGGAGGCTGGTGTTTGCTTCCCATAAGATTACCAATGTAGCATGTTTTGAATGAGACTTTATGCAAACTGTATATTTCCTGTGAAAACAGTAGTTTGAACAGACAATGGATGTAACAGGCAGAACTTGACACAGCGTCCCAGAACGCCAACAACCGACGCACCCAGGGTACCTTGCACATCATATAGGCCTATCGACATGGAAAGTCCAGGACCAAACGTTGATACATGACAAGGTCGGAGTGAGTATGTGTTGAGTTTGCTGTCTCAGTCAAGCAGCTGTCGGTTAGTCACTCCCTGTACAGCAGGAAACGGCACTTCAAAATAAAAGCTCAGTGCCGGAAATTGACTGTACTTGAAAATAAAGTGTGTTTTTTACAAACTTGACAGGTTTGTGACCCACTTTTGGACTGCGACCCACCAGCTGGGAACCACTGGTGTAATATATACATGAATAAACATCTAAGAAGAATGCTACAATCATACAAACACAAGCAAAATAGTCGTCACTAATGTACCTTTCAGTCTTTTCGTCTGATTCAGCTTCCTGGCCCTGGGTGTGTGCTCTGTGCTGAGACTAGCTGCTGAACAAGAGGCTATCGCTACACACTGGATCTGTCATTGTTCGGTTCGGAGGTTGTGTGTCGTGCTTCCTTACACTGTGTGTGCTACTTCTACTGGGTTAGCTGCTAACGACAGACCTTTGCTTTGCGGCAGCTTGGTTTTCGTTTCAGCCCCAGCATCTCCGAGCAGAGAACACTGCTCATGTTTTTCAAGAGTTTGAAAGCTAATTTTACACACTTGGCAACTTTTTTAATCTTTCAAATTTGGGTGGGTGGTTCCTAACACATTTTTTTCTGTGGTGTGACAATCTCATAACACATATTTATTTTTGCTTTACCCGGACTTTAAAGAGAATAACAGCCTCAATTTGCCACCAGAAATGGCTGCCTGATGACGAAGTAAAGCGGAGAAAATATTCTGAAAATAGCACACACTTAAACTGATACTGATTTTTTGGGTAGCTAAAATACGTTGCTGCAAACCCCTACACAGCAGTACATTGCTTTGCTTTGATGTTGGCACTTTTGCCTGCTTTTCCAAACTGTGTTACATGAGCCGACCCGATGTTCGCACCGACGGAATCACCAAGCGCTTCTGGTGATGTGGTGTTGAGGACGCCTATTATAAGAGAGAGTTGCTAAGCTGTTATGTAAGCTTATGTTAATACATTCATGCATCCAGCGCTTACATAATATTGTGTAGAGGAGGTTCTATGTTTGGCTGAGTCTGTTGGGCCCAAGGCTGAGCATTACTGAAGGAGTTCTCTCCTATCAGCCTCTGTATTTCTCCCACAGGGTGAGTGAGTTTCTTTGCTGTTAAATTCCTCCCATGTTAACACGCCCGAGGGAGCCGAGTGTCCATTTGAAGCAGAAATGTTGTAAATCCTGTAATTCTCACGCTCCCCTTAACTTTTCTGGCCTCTTCCTCGCTGCACCTTTCTGTTTTACCTCTTTAATCTGTCTGCACTTTATCTTCTTTCCTCTCTACATCATGTTTCTCCTTTTTGCTCCTCTCTTGTGGACACATATTCTTCTCCTCTACGCCCACTATCCTCGACCTCAGCTCCAGATGCTGCCAGCACACACTGGAAGCAGACAGTGTTTTATTTAGAGGACTACTTGACTGTCAAGAAGGGAGAGGAGATCTTTGGCAGCATCACTGTCAGGCCCAATGAGAAGAATGTGGTAAGACTTACACAAAATAGCCACAAAATTCTTCATTGTTTAGATTTAAATTAGTAATAAATGTAGGAAAAAGTAGAATATTTGCATCTGAAAACAACAATTGAACTAGAAGTATAAAGTAGTATGATATGGAAATACTTATGTACAAATGCTTTAACGTTATACTTGAAGGGAAGCTTCAGTATTTTTTAATTTAGACTCTATTTTCCCATGTTTTTGTGTCCAAGTGACTAATGGGAACAGTCATTTTTAAAACCAGTCCAGTCGTCATCTGCCTGATGAGGTTGGCCAAGTCATCCTCCAAGACAGTGGGAGGGATGTCACAGCGAACCATCAATTTACTTCTATTAAATGTGCCTGTTTTTGCCACTGACAGGCTCAGATTGTTATTTTCAGTGTCTGACAGCTTATGGAAAGGATCCCTACAGAGGCTGACCTGTTTGTTAAAGAGTAAGATCCTTTTTGTTTCACCCAAAACAGTTCAGAAATCTGTGTGTTGCCAAACTCCACATCCTCCATTTCAAGGCTGAATCCAAATGTCCGCACTTCACCACACTTTCAGACTCGCGGACTTTGTATGACATATATGAATACATTTTTGTTCAGTCACAAAAAAGGCTATACATGGGATTTATATCTTGTTATCTGCAGGGACAGATGAGTTCAGCACTGTTCATCAACTTATATGACACGAATATGAATATGACAGCAGTGATAGTTACCATTTCCATGGCAACGAGAAAAACAGTCTTGAGGGCTGTCTATCAGTCGCTAGCAGTCTCTGCCCTCGCAGACTTTACGTGATGACAGTAAATACATCACCCTATGTACTGTACAACTGAAGTCCGCAAGGGCAGGGCTTGACGCTAACTTTTTTCCCAAGGAGCACATGTGCTCCTAAGTTGAAAAAGTAAGGAGCGCACAAAGAACTTTAGGGGCACAATGTAAATTGATCAAATAATGTGTTTTCCGTAATAAACGTGATGCAAATAGACATTTACAGGCAAAATTATTTAATGAATTTGTATACAAAATGTACAGAAAGGTAAAATCATCAAGTTTTGAAAAATATTTAATTAAGCAATTTAATTTTGTCTTTAATGTTATTATCTTATATATATTATCTTTGCAATATAATTATCTTATATAATGTTATTACTATCCTAAAACATTCTCCAGGTCCTCTGAAACTCTGCAGGACTTAAGCCTCTTTCACACAGAGCGCGATTTTCTCAGCGGCTACCGCGGGGTAGAGCGCAGAGCAAGCGGAGAGTAAGGCACGCAAGACAGGATTTGGTTGAGTACAGGCTCGCTCAAGAGCTACAGCTCCATGGTGACCGCTTCTGTGTCTACTTCAGGCTCTTCTCTGCCATTGGACGCGCCGAGGTGTCGTCACAGCGCGTTGCGGTAAAATTAAAAAAATTGCAATTCGAGCGCAGGCTGGCGGCGCGCAGATGCCGCGGCATCAGCTCGGCGGCAGAGCGGTGTGCTCTTGTGCCGCGGTAGCACATACACAATGAATGGGTTCGTCGGCGGAGGTCTGCGCTTTGCGCGTTCTGTGTGAAAGGGGCTTTATTTCCACCCTGCCCAGCAGGGTGGAAATAAACCATGGCGAACCATGGCGAACGGTCCCTAACTGCGGGGAGAACGGAGCAGGCTTCCCCGTACGTAGGTCCGCCACTTTCTCCACACTTTGACTTATTTGCACGCTGCCGACATTGGGACTTTTCATTGTGCCGACAGTGGCTTGGAAACCGCCCATAACCGTGTCACACGGGGAAGAGGGAAGGCTGCTGGAGTTCCTCTAACATTTGCGGTTAGATTATCATATTTTTTTTTATTGACAAAAATACACACGTGCCCCTAAATATTTTTTACAGTTCGCACACACCTATTTTTAGTCGCAAATGCGAGTGAAATGCTTGCACTGTCGAGCGCTGAAGGGCTCAGTCCGAAAGTCCAGAGGGTGGACATCTGGGTTCAGCCAAACACACAATCATTTTAGTGTGTATATACCCGCATATTTTCACATCTAACTGGGTGCATTAAGGGTTTATTTCAACCAAACCAGAGCTGGTGATTGTTGGAACAGCGGAAACATGAACCAAAATGGTTACTGTGAGTTTTACTTAGTTCCTGCCGACACTGAATTCAGTGAGTTTTACGATGATAAAATTTCTGTTTATTGAAAAAAAGTCTGGTGGGTTTGGTGATGGCGAAATCAGGGCTGTTACTGGTTATACGAAAAAGGATCTTACTCTTCAACAAAAAGGTCTATCTCTGTAGGAATCCTTTCAATAATGTTGTCATTGAAAATAATGATCTGAGCCTGTCAGTGACAAAAACAAGCACATTTACAGGACATAAATTGATGGGGCTCAGTTGCCCCGAATGTTTACATTGCAGCCTGTTTTGCAGCTGCCAGCTGCAGTGCTGTCGCTCAGTTCTGGACCCATTTAAAAATTTGTTGTTCCCATTAGTCACTGAGACACAAAAACATGGGAAAATAGAGTCCAGTTTGAAAAACAGCAGTTTCCCTTTAAATGCAATTTATGAGTAAATGTTAAATTCATTTGCATTTTTTGTATGTGGAGATTTTGTTTGGCTACAGCTAAACCCAGGGGAAATTTCTGCCATTAATTAATTTAAAACCATTTTATCTTCTGTAGCGTGACCTGGAGTTCACCCTGGAGCTAGACTTTAAAGGACAACTATGTGAGGCCGCCATTTCCCACGACTATAAAATGCGTTAAGAACAACAACCAACCAACAAACTATCCTCAGCCCCTCTCGACACTCGCGGGAAAGGGGGGCGGCACATGCTCTCCATCGAGCATTCCAGTTGGCCAGCAAGGGCGACCAGACGCATCTGAACGGATGCCATCATGCCAGCACCCAAGTGATGTCATCCGAATAAGCAAGTATCTCTCAGCAATAGTGCCATCACCTGTTCCAACTTGATAGACTCGGGCACATCGTTGAATGTAACATCCTAAATGAACTTGATTTTTTTTTCTCTCTCTCACTAGTTTCTGGAAATTGTATAATTTTGAGTATTAAATGAAAAGTCTTTATATTGTTAGTGCAGCTAATTGAAAGCATTGATCTGCGTGATGTGGAGAAGGTTACAGCACAGTCAGCATCTGTTTTTCCTTCTGATGAGATTCATCACGCACTGTGTCATTGTATAGAGGGTGCAGTAATCAGTTGTGTTTTACTTTATTTATTACTTGCATGTTAACGTTTGTTTTGCTTCATTGATTCCAGAAGGACGTGAAATGTAATTTCTTTATTTCTTTAATTGAGGATAATTCAGAACAAATGTACTTTGGTACCAGAATAAAACAGAACAATGCCTCAGAACAGGAACAAACACAGATGCAATACGTCATGGGACACTCTGTTTTGATCGGACAAACAAGGAATGTGAAAAACAAGATGATGATGATGAATAAAATGTCAAAGAATCACATTTTCTCTCATGATTTTTCATTGAAACAGTTTTTATCTTCAACATAAAATATAACTACATTAACATATACTGCACCAGAGAGAATTAATTACAGAAAGCTAGCATTTAGTTATCAAAAAAGCTACTTTATATTTACGATTCCTCTCTTGGGTGAAGGCTATTTAAGTAATTATAATACAGAGTAGGTTTAATTTTAAATCTTATAGACAGCACTACTGTGATTTGGCAACACAGCATTATTTACAGGAAATGGTGCAGCACCTTAGTTTTACTTCTGCCCTTCCTCTGAGCCTCATCATTTAAACTTTACAGTAGGTTTCACGTTCACACACGGGACACAGTCCTTCCTGTCGACTTCAACATTTCGTGCACTTCCGGGCCAAAATGATAAAGTCCAAGAATTATTTCACTGTTGTCTTTAAACACTGCAAAACGTGATCTTGAACTAGACGAATTGAGTGTACACTTTCACTTGCAGCAGGCTTTCTTCTTTATGGGCTGAGCACTCAGAATGACAGTTGTGTCTCTCACCCTGTCCTCCTGCTCCATTAACACTCTGAGGAAAGACAGAGACACAGACATAAGAACATGGCATGAGCCAGAGGTATGACAACTATAGATCAGCCTCTTGACAAAAGGTTGTAAGCGCAGCAGGCCATGTGCTCCTCTGTGACTTTATCATGCATCTGATGACTGGTGTGCAGCGTGTCTCATGAATGGCCTGTAGTCTTGGGGCCCCCTTCTGTCCTTCACCTGCTATGTCACTCAAGGAGACACATAGCAACCAGGGCCCTAGTTTTCAGTTCAAGAACATCCATCCACTTTCATCCACTTATCCGGGCCGGGTCGCGGGGGCAGCAGGCTGAGCTAAGCACCCTAGATGTCCCTCTCCTCAGCAACGCTTTCCAGCTCCTCCTGAGGGACCCCAAGGTGTTCCCAGGCCAGATGAGACATGTAATCCCTCCAGCGTGTTCTGGGTCTGCCCCGGGGCCTCCTACCAGTGTGACGTGCCCGGAACACCTCTAACAGAAGGTGTCCAGGAGGCATCCTGATCAGATACCCGAACCACCTCAACTGAGCCCTTTTGACATGAAGGAGCAGTGGCTCTACTCCGAGCTCCCTCCAGATGTCCAAACTCCTTACCCTATCTCTAAGGCTGAGCCTTAGGCTGCTTGTATCTGCAATCTCGAAATCGGAGGGTAATACATAAAAATTGCTCCAATGATAATGCAAATCCACGATGTCTACTATCTGATATATCTGGGTGGAAGAGATTTTTTAAATAAATGATAGAGTGTGAGGTGAAACGGTATCTTTCATGTCCTCCTGACACCTCAGCTCCTGTTTGGTACACATTTTTAATGTCTGCGAGCTGTTTTGGATCAGTAGAACCTGATCATGAAACATCGTCTTTGAACAGGAAGTAGTTTTAGGAAAAAAAAAAGTCCTCATGAGGACGCTGGGTTTATTTTTAATAGTCACAGTGTGTAATAAAGTATAAAGCAGTTAATTTCAGTGTCTGAGCATTGTTCATTTTCTAACTCTGGTTGAATTGTCCTTGTTTCATACTCCAAGCAAGGAATGTCCTTTTGTCTGTAGAGACAGTCTGTCGCACCTAATTGGTCCCAACGTCCTCAAACAAGACGATGATTAAGTCCAAAGACGAATACTTCCTAATTAACAGCGTCTTATCTTGTAACTGTTGCTAAAATTGGTCAAATTTGTTGCCATATCAAACTACAAACATTATTCATCATAAATAAACAAGTTTCAACCATAAAATCTGATCAGATTTTGGACCTTGTCCACCTTTGTGTCAGGGTCGGCTGCAGACTGTCTTGGCAGAGATGGCTGCCATCTTGTTTTTACATGGATTAGTGTATTGTGTTTTTACTACCACTAGATGGCACAAAAGTGTCCATGAACGAGGACAACAGGTCCAGATTAAGCAGATTGAAGTAAAAGGTGCGGGAAACCCAAAATGTGACGTCCTCATGAGGACACAGAGTCTCAGGAGGATATAGACACTCCTCCAGGAGCGATAAGACATCCAAACGAGGTCTAATCACCTTCTTGTTATGTAACAGCCTCTCAATAATTTGCCCACGTCCACACACCCTCAGGCTTAGATGAGGCAAACCTGCCAGTCAGCAGGTTTGCTTCACAGAGTGTGTTGCTATGGTAACTGACTGAAACTGGCTTTGTGGAATGCAAAACTTTCCCTCATCTCAGGCTTAACATACTCAGAGTTTTTCTCACGAATGCTACTTTCTGAAATAGGGCCCAGGAAGAGACTCAAAATGACCTCGAAGAAACAAAACGGATGGTGTGTCTGTATAATGTATTCCTTGTTATTCTACATACCCATTTGATTCACATCTTACCTGGCCAGGTGTGTCAGGGACTCTGTCACATTCTTGGCGGTGTAGGCACTGACCTCAAAGAACATCACCTTGTTTTCCTGCTCAGGCACACAGAGTTGAGGAATCCAACAAAGACACACATGTGTTATGAGAAGAACTGTTAGAAACTGCATCTTCGTGCTCGGATCAAAACAGAGTTGTGATTTGAGTGAAATAAAATGATCCACAAGCTGAACTCACATAAGCCAGCTGCTCAGCTTCTTTGAACGACACCTCCCTGTCTCTGTCCATGTCCATTTTGTTGCCCAGCAGGAGGATGGGGATCCCTTCTCCCGCTGCCTCCTGAAAAAGAATATCAGTAAGGAACATAGCCATGAAAACACCCGAGACGAGTTAAAATGTCTGCTATAATACAAAACAGAAACACAAAATAAAAACTCATCGAAGACTTAAAGGGAAAGTGCAACATTTTGGGAAGACTTTTATTCGTCCAACTCTATACATGAAGAAAACGAGATGCAGGAGTCAAAGTTCAGACCTGGACATTGGTGAGCCAGGGTCGCACGGCCTTGAAGCTCTCCTCCACTGTGACGTCGTACATCACCACCACGCCGTCCGCCTTGCGAAAGAACTGCTTGGTTATGCTGCGGTACCTGTGTCGACGACAGTCGAACGGAAACGTTTGCTGCTGTTTTTATTCACTCTTCATAATTTTTCCCACTTTGAGCACCCTTCTGTTTGTGCACGGATGTCTTAAATAAATAAACTATTTTTTGCATTGAGCTCAGCCCAGTTGCATTGGTGTGTGGGTATCTCCTTTGCTGTCCTTTCTTGTTTGTCTATTGCACTGAAGCACCCAAGACTTGTTTCTTGCCCAAAGTAGGCGAAGTTCCACAGGAGCCCTAAGACATCATATTGCTCACACTCTGTCTTTTGGTATGTAGCAATTGGTAAACAATATGGGGGATGGGACTTTGGAGGGAGGCGGGAGTGTCAGCTGGGACTATTTTATATTGATTTTGACTAATTTCTTAGTGGACTTGCAAATCCAAGTTTCAGTTTAGGTCCAACACCTTGTGACCTCACTTGTTTTGTATCTAAAAACATAAAAAGAAACTCACCTCTCTTGTCCTGCCGTGTCCCAAAGCTGCATGGCTACCTGCATGTTGTCCAGGGTGAGTGTCTTCACACTGTAGTCAATGCCTGATAAAGAAACAGCAAAGATTAATACAATATAACCAGGATAAATTCATAATTCCTTAGCACTTCCCTCTGTGATACTGATAAAATATGTGGCTACATCTCTCATATTTGATTTAAATGTAATCATATTCATTGTTTTTAACAGAGCAACAGCCACTAGGGGTCCAGCGAGGCGTGATACTGACTGCGTGTGAAAACGGGGGGGACAAAGTGGAGATAACAAGGCTGGAGTGAGGATTGGGAAAGATGAAAGCAAGGAGAAAAATTCATCACAAGTGACATAATCTGCAGTACAATGTGTGCCAGGGCTCTTAGACAGGCAGTGTGACTTCACAAGCCCTCTCATGTGATGCTAAGTCGCCCTCCGATCTCCTGTGTTAGCATCCACAAACACACACGCCATTCAGATTTGTTCAAAACAGCCTCTGACACATGCAGCACACCATATTATTATAATGTTTCTCTTCTCACCCACAGTAGCAGTAGTGGAAGGGTGGAAACGGCCCTCACAGAACGAGCGTAGCAGAGATGTCTTGCCTACACTTGAGTTGCCGACCAGGACGACTTTAAACAGGCGGTCTGGGGCGAACAGGGCTTCTTCTTTTGTCTTCTAAAGCAGATTAAACACCGGAAAAGACAGAGATACAAGAAATTAATGTGCATCTGGTTCATTAACTCTGCAGACAGTAATATATCTTATTGAAGGGGATCCATTCTGTCATTTATACAGTGTTACAGTGTCAGATGTTGAGAATAAATGAAAGTTCAAAGTTTTAAAAAATGATGTAAATGTTTGTAAAAGTAATCCCTGTGAGCAAAAACCTCCGGTGTCATTGTGAGTACTCTGTTTCTAATGTTTTGTCTACTTGGAGATGTCAGCTTGTCACACATTTCTTTATATGGTCATCTGCTCCACACATGCTGCTGCAAGTGTTTACACTACGTAGCCTACGCTGCTACATGTAGCTACATGCTAACATCAGGGAAACATGTAAACTTGGTTGCGGTTGTGAGTTTGTCCCCATTTTCAGATCATATTCCTGCTGGAACATGTCTGGTTGATTGATGATTTCTCATGGTAGAAAATGCATTCTTTTACCATTCTTTTTTTCATTTCCCTACATGCTACATGCTATTGTCAAGGAAACATGTAATCTCCACTTGCCATGTTATTGCCCTTATTTCAGATCATATTCCTGCTGGAGCATGTTAAGTTGTCAAGATTTTGGTTAAGAAGCCTTTATTCTAAATGTTCACAAAAGAAAATGTCAATATACTCCATTGCAATTATTTCCCGAATGCAAGTACACTGCTACATGTAGCTACATGCTAACATCAAGGAAACATGTAATCTTGCTTGCCAATGCTGTTATTTCAAATCAGATTTCTGCTGGAAGATGTCTGGTTGTTAATATTTTGGTTTAGATGGTTT